CAAATCTTCCCACATTAGCACCTGCACTTCCAAAAATACCTCTTAGGTTGTACCTAACAGTCACCAAGGAAACAATGGGAGCCATGCTGGCACAAGAAGTAGAATGTAAAGAAAATGAAATCTACTATCTATGTAAAAAGATGCTTGAGTGTGAAGTAATCTATACACCACTTGAGAAATTGTGCCTCGCATTGGTGTGGGCCACAACTAAGTTAAGACATTACACGCTCGTGCATATAGTATTTGTAGTTTCCCAAATGGATCCACTCAAGTATTTATTCGAGAAATCAACACTCAATGGGCGCATATCAAGATTGATAGTCAACTTAGCCCAATTCAATGTAAGATTCATGCCTTAAAAAGCTATCAAAGGATCCATGGTCTCAGATTTTCTAGCGGATTTTCCAATAGAAGATTCAACGCCAATACACGACAATGAATTCCCAGACGAAGACTTGATGGTCACAGCAGATGATACTTGGACCTTATACTTCGATGGAGCCTCAAAACAAAAGGTATGAGGCGTTGGAGTATTATTAGTATCACCTAAGGAAGAGCATGTTCCAATCTCCATTATTGCTGCTGAATACGAAGCATGCGTGGTAGGCCTTGAAACAGCTTTGGCATTGGGAGTGAAGAAATTACGAATATTTGGGTACTCTTCATTGATCATCAACCAGATTTCTAAAAGATGGAAATTAAGGAGAGAAAGTCTATCCCCTTACCAAACTTATCTGGAAACTCTCACCAATCAGTTAGAAAAGGTAGAATCCATATATCTACCTAGAGAGGAATATCAATTTTCTGATTCTTTGGCAAGACTAGCCTCAATGGTTAAGACTCCCACGAAAATCGAGCAAATGCCTTTAACTATAGAAAAAAGGCATAAACCGGCTTATATTCAAGTTATGGAAGATAATGAAGTGATCAAAGATGAAGAAGAAGAAGAAGAAGAAGAAGAAGAAGAAGAAGAAGAAGAAGAAGAAGAAGAAGAAGAAGAAGAAGAAGAAGAAGAAGAAGAAGAAGAAGAAGAAGAAGAAGAAGAAGAAGAAGAAGAAGAAGAAGAAGAAGAAGAAGAAGAAGAAGAAGAAGAAGAAGAAGAAGAAGAAGAAGAAGAAGAAGAAGAAGAAGAAGAAGAAGAAGAAGAAGAAGAAGAAGAAGAAGAAGAAGAAGAAGAAGAAGAAGAAGAAGAACCGTGGTATACGGATATACTTAACTACGTCACCAAAGGAGAATACCCTCCTCATGCTGACAAAAGAGCAAAACGAGCATTATGACACTTGGCTTCCCAATATGTACTCATAGACAACGAGTTACAAAACGATACCTAAGGGTCGAGCTCTCTTATGTGTAGGGAAAAAGGATGCTCAAAGAGCTATGAGGATAGTCCACGAAGGCATTTGTGGAACTCATGTTAAAGGCAAAATGCTAGTCCAAAAGATAATGCGAGAAGGATACTATTGGACTACCATGAATAGGGATTATCATCAATATGTAAAACGATGCCCTAAATGCCAAATTTAAGCTAATTTACAACATGTTCCTCCATCTCTACTCTACACCTACACTTCACCCTGGCCATTCTCTACATGGGGAATTGACATTATTGGTAAAATTACTCCCCCAAGAAAAGGAGGTCATGAATACATCCTAGTAGCAATTGATTACTTCACAAAGTGGGTTGAAGCACAATCATATGTTAAACTCACTGCAAAACATGTAGCACTCTTTATTGAAAGGAATATTATTTGTCGATATGGAGTCCCACATGAAATGATAAGTGACAATGGAACTCACTTTCAAGCTGAGTGTGAAGAATTGTTACAAAAACAATGTGGCATTCAACACCGTCATTCTTCTCCTTATAGACCTCAAGCAAACGGAGCAGTTGAAGTAGCTAATAAAAATCTAAACACTATCATCGAGAATATGACTGAAATTACAAGGATTGGCCTAACAACCTCCATTCCGCACTTTGGGGTTATCGCACATCAATTTGCACATCAACAGGAAATACGCCATTCTCCTTGGTTTATGGAATGGATGCCGTACAATCTGTAGAGCTAGAGATACCATCTCTACACATCACATTATAAAGTAAACTTGATGAAGTTGAATGGACTAGGGCAAAACATGAAGAGCTAATTCTACTTGATGAAAAACGACTAGAAGCTCTACATCATACTCAATGCTATCAAACTCGTATGGCTAGGCATTTTAATAAGAAGGTCAAGACAAGAAACATCAAAGTAGGAGACTTGGTGTTAAAATCATGAAGAAAAAATGTTTTAGATCCAAGGGGCAAATTTAGGCCTAATTGGTCTGGACCCTATATTGTCAAAATAGTCCTATCAGGAGGTGCAGCAAAATTAACTGATATGGATGGAAATGAGTTCTCAAACATTACAAACCTTGACCAACTTAAAAGTACTACCCATAATTACTAAGTAGGATACTCAAGAGAGCTACGTTTGGCCTGATTCCTTAGGAAAGGATACGTAGGCAACCCTTTACAGGTGCGGCCACTTTACCTTTTGCAAACTTCGCATCCCAGATTTAAAAATAAATGCGACATAAATTCGATGAAGCATCGGCGTCACAGAAAAAGCTCCATCGCCGGCCGATGAGCAGTAGCGCTAGACGACAGCGTATTTCGTTTGACGCCAGACTGCCGCAGCTAGCGCCAGTCGTAAAGAAGCGGCGCCATTTTTCTGGGAGCACCTGGGAATATTTCGGTGTTTTTCGGAAAATTTTCGACTTTCGTACTCGAAAAAATTCTGGAAAATTAAATTTTCTGTTTTCATTGCTTTAATAAATTAAATTTAAAGTAGATAATTTAATTAAAAATCTGAAATTTCATTAATAAAATAAACTAACAAATTACATTATTGATGGAATTTAAATAAAGCTTAATAAAACAAATTAACTTTATATTTAAAACTAAGTCTAATAATTGAAAGTTAAGCATTGCTTCAAACTTTCTTCTCTCTCTTTTCCCTCTTCCAATTTTTATCTGCATCCTCTTCATCATCCATGGCTTTAGCTAGTAGGCATCCTTTAGAGGACCTACATTCAATTTTGGAGTAAATAATTTATCCCTAAGCTAGGACTCCACGTTTCTTCTCTACCCAAGCCTTCTTCTCTGAAGCGTCAGCTTTTCTTTCCCTTTATCCTTTGTAGAGCTCTTCTTCTTAGGCATCATAGGTGTTTTGAATTCAACCTTTTCACCCAAGCGTTCCTTAACGGGAATTACCTTGTCACCTAGACGACTCTTCACACTAGTTTTACTCTGATTTTTCTTCATGTCGTTTGAAGGTTTCTTAAGAAGCCATCTCTTCACATAATTGGGCAACGAAGGAGAAACCTTTTAGGTAATCACTTCCCATAAAGGTCAAGCACTCCAATATGCATCAAAATTTTCTACTTCTTGAGAAACAGGGAATTCATAGGGACGACGAAGATCCCCAGAATTAATTGTTTGAAGTAAGCCATAATGTCTTTTTACCCTGCAGGAATAATAAAAAGTTAAGCTTGAAAGACGACAAAAAGGTTGCTTGTTGACACCAACCATCTTCTCTATTTTCCACCAAGGGATGACTCACTGGATGGCAAAGTTGCAAGAGGCAAATATCTTCTTCTATTCATGGTGCCCCATCTTAGAAAAGCATTTCTTTCTTCTCACAAAACAATTTGGAGTATATTTTTCAACATTGCCGAGAGGACTAATTAATTCTAGTCTCTCAATTAGCCACATCTGCAAAAAAAAAAAATTCAATGCAAATGAATTAATATTACTATATAAAAATATGTTTTTGATTTCTGTAATTAAAAATATTATTTTTCTACCTGTAATAAAATTGGAGAGCCCCGAAAAGGTGCTTTTGGATTTCTCTTCAATTCATCAAGACTAAACATAGTCACACCAACAATTAATGGCATTGGATTTCTCCCAGATTCAATCTGCTCCAAAACAATTGATATAATTGCTTGGCCCTCATTAATTCTACCACTAGTGAGAAGATATTGGTTAATCATGCAAAAGAGAAAAGCCCTTCTTCTATAAACATGAAAAGACTCAGAATAAGATCTATCAAAATCATGGCGTGCAAATTCTTTCAAATTAACTATGCTACCATCTAAAATATTTGTTAGATCTTTGTCTCTTAAATTAAAGAAGCGCTCAAAATCTTTACAATAATATTAATTTATTCTAGGGATTACTGCAAGATCTAATGCAGGGAAGCCTAAGATAGAATCGAATTCTTCCGGTAAAAGGCTAATTTTGTCATACCCTAGTCTAAAACAATGAGTATCCACATCCCAATATTCTAAGGCAGTATGAATGAAGTCTATATCAAGATCTACCCCTTTGACACCATCAATACCCCCTATTTGAAAAAAGTCCAATTCTTTTCTCTCCTTAGCAGTTAGAGATCGACACCATTCGTGAGTTAAATTGGTAAAACTCTTAGTAATTAAAGACATGATTGTTTTTTTAAAAGCTAAGACTATGTTTAATTTGTTGAAATTATGACAAAAATTGGCAGACCAGGGGGTTATTTAAACACAACAACAACTCAGTTTCAATCCGGAAAGGATTTGGAGTCAGCGCTCACCAGCGCCAAACGCCAGAGTCTAGCGTCAAGCGCCAGCCGTAGCGTCTAGCACCAACGCAAAACGCGTGGCGCCACGTGACGCTGACGTGTCTTATCAGCGAGCTTTTCAAAAACCGCTTTTTTTGGTTGATTTGAATCTGAACAATGGCTTTACGATTTTTTATCTTTTTTTATACCCTTTTAATTAATATATTAATTAATTTTTTTTTTCTTTTTGGATTTTATTTAGACTTAATTTTAAGTTTTTTATAAGTCCAATTTTTTATTTTTCATTTTCTTTTTTTGGGGAAGAAAGTCGAATACCCTCCATCAATAATAAAAATGGCGGAATTTTTGCGCAAAATTATTGATTCACAATTCTTTGCACACACAAATATGCACATATAAATGAAAAATAAATGCTAAATAAATAAGCTCATAGTAATATGCATATACAAATATGTCTAATAAATGAGTCTAATAAAGGCACAGTTCTATACAAGTCAAAAATAAAAAAAGTCAGGTATAAACTACGGCGTCGGAGGACGCAGATGATGAGAGACGCCCATCATGTCATGGAACTGCGCAGTACGAGGAGTAATCTCTCCACGGGCTCCAGCTCCAGTCTCCTCGGGAGGTGGAAAACTCAGCACAGGACCCGTCCACCCAAGATCGCCCCTAAGGCTTAGGCTGCGGAGGCTGCTGTGATGACGAGTCGACCTTGTACATCCCACCCACCTTAGGAGCCGAGGTAGCCTCTACCTGGCCTACCGGCTCAGCACGTGCGTCCTCAGAAGAAGAGCCCGAGCCCTCCATCGCCTCGGTCCGAGCAGCCTCAGAACGACCACCCCGAACGCCAGAACCATTACAGCGACGTCTCGAGCTAGACCTCGCCGTCTGCGGACCTTAGGTCTCGTCCGGGTATAAGAAGGAATGGGCTGATCCTGCAAGAGGAAACCAAGTCAGAAACAATCACAATAGAAGCATAATAATGAAGAAACAAGAAGGAAGGCTACCTCCTGAACGGCGTCGTCGCAACGACACGTAGCCACATTCCGCATCCGAACGAGTTGGCTCCGGAAGGCATCTATACACCGTGCCATCACCGTGAACACCTCGCGCGAGAACTGTCAAAGAAATAAAGTCAGTAACAATGCATAACATATATGAACAAATTGCAAATAAATGAACTTACCCGAGACTGGTGCGCGGTAATCGATCGCTCTACGAAGCGCTTATCCTCAGGAGCCAGAGAAATCATCTCCTCGATTGGACCGTATGTCCCCTGGTAATGGATAGACATACGAGGTGGCGCGAACTCAGTAGGTCCATGATGCGATGTTGAAAAACACACAAATTAATAATAATCACCCTAAGACTTCTAACTTGGAATTAGCGGAAGTAGGGGTCGATCCCACGAAGAATGTGCTTGCAATTAACTAAGAATAAGATCCAAAACAGTTAACAAAGACTCACAACAATGAAATAAATGATTGGGGTGGGGGAGTTTAAGGGGAAGGAGCAACTAACAACTAGGAACTTAAACTAACAGGAACAATAACAGATAAGGAACTTGAAATACTTAGCAACTATACAGAGAAATCCACCATGAAAATGTATAATCACGGACATATTACTTAATCCTTTAGAATAGCTTGATTTATGGAACAAGTTCCTGTGTTTAACCTTATTAATGGTTAAATCCCATACAACTTTCACTAACCCTAACCAACAGATAACCCTTATATTACAAGAAAGGAATTTAACATGATGACAACATTGAGAACTAGGAAAACATCAAGCCCAAACAACCATGACATTATTGGAACACAGTTTCACCTAGATCAAGAATTACTTTTTAATTAATAGAGTGGAACGTCCTCCTCTACAACTGTTAGCTACTTCATTAATGTTCCCAAGCAATTATAAACTTAGAAATATTAATTAGCAAAAGAAATCAGACTTAAACAAATAGTTGTACACCTACCCATAAGAAATCATCATTCGTATGAACTAAACAATAATTCAAGAATACTCCAAGCATTAATCATTAAAACCAACAATACTCATCTCAAATACTTAGTACATGGCTTCAAATAATAGTTAATGAGAATAACAAGCTAAAGATTCATAATATAAATAAAACAAAAGAAAACGAAACAAGAACCCATTAAGTTCCTCAGATTTAGATCCGAATTCCTCCCAGGGAGCTCCGAGTTCCTCCACTGCAATGTATCACGAATTGTGACCAACGACTCCAAACCCTTGAGGGGTTTTGGAGTGAAGCCTCTCTTCTCTTGCGTCTCGAGTGTCTCCAATTTCGTAGCTTTAAATAGGCTAAGAGATGATTGGGAATCTCTCAAAGATAAGGAAAGTAATAAGATAAGATTGTGAAAATATATCTTTTTCCATATCTTAACCTATTGATAAGATCTTCTCTTTAATCAAATATATCTTTTCCAACTACTGTAGATCTTGTAAATTATTCCCAAAGACTTCCCAAATTCACGGATTCAATGAACCTAGACAAACAAAACGTGCCCAGCAAGCTGTTCTCATCTCCGTCAGTTTCTCAAGTTCCTCGGTTGGAACTTCCATTTGTGCTTCGCATTGACTCCTTTATCTGGTTCATCTTTTTATCTTCTTAAACCACTCAATAACCTATATAAAATACACAAAAGAGAAATAAGCTACAAAATATCAAAAACATAAACAAATACACTAAAATGCTAAAGGAACTAACTCAAAATATAAGGAACATAGATATAAATAGTGTTAGAAATGACACTCATCAAATTCCCCCATACTTAGATCTTTGATCACCCTCGAGAAGAGTACATATAAAAGAAAGAAAACAATATATATATATATATATATATATATACCACCAAACTTCTCTTTCATGACATGGACTCATAAGTACTCAACAGTAAATTAATATAGAACTTTGTTTGATTAGCGAGCTCTTTCATGTAAAGAACAAAAATATTATTTGTTAAATTAGCAAGTTATGCATACAACTTCCTCTTATAATCTAGCAATTTTAAAAACATAGCATAATCAACTCATAAGCAGTCTAGGCGCTCAGGTGCATGTGTATTAACCCATAAAATTAGGTTAGTCAAGTTAGACCATTATAGTCTTTCAGTTGATTCCTTGGTGTTTTCTCGTACAAGAGGTACTTACATAAGTACATGGATCGTTCCTGTCATATGTCATTGCACTTACCACCTATTTATCTCAAAGGAGTACTCGATAATTTAGTTTTTTCCATTGCTTTAGAAGCTTTTTAATTTGCTTTTCCTTAGTTCCTTTATCCTAGGAACCGATCACTCTATTTTCTTTTCTTTTTTTTATTATTTTTTTTGTTTTTTCAATGGTTCAATTCTCTCACGTTTGGGATTACTAATCCACTTTTCATTTTTTTTTTACTTTTGAACCATTTTCCCTCATTTCTTTAAGAAATTCAAGTAATTCTCCAGTAACCAAGGGCAGTGAAAAGTCACCATAGAAAACACCAAGTACTAATTAGGTGGATTAAATAAGCAAAGGTCCTTCCCAACATCACCACATCTTATGTCGACAAAGTAGTGTTCCAAAATGCTTACAAGTCAATTTTCAAACAACACTTTATTGGACATAATTGCTAGAGACATTAATCTTTTGTGCATAACTTCAAAAACATCAGGTATCAAAATTTTTTTCTAACAAGAATTAGATTAGAATTTACTGTTTTTCCAAAGAGTCAGCCTTCTAAGAAGTTTAGAGATGGTAAACCTAAAAAAACACATATTCTCTCATCTTGTTCCTTTCCCCCACACTTAAACTCTACATTAACCTCAATGTAGGAACTTGGCATGCGATAAAGAAGTAAAAACAAGTAAGCATGAATTTATTGAACAACTAAAAAGTAATAAAAAGATTGGGAAAAGAAACATCCTTAGGTTGCCTCCCAAGTAGCGCCCTTATTTTAAGTCATAGGCTTGACTATCCAGCAAGTTCCTATCAAACTCCAGCACTTTGATAAGTAGCTTCAGCTAAGGCCATCTCTTTAGATGTAAGTGGCCAATGGAACTTTAGATTACAAGCCTATAAAATTTTCATTTTCACACGAGGTATGTAATCCACATCATATTTAGCATACAACTTTTCATTCCATTCGGTTTTATCATAAAAACCCTCCATGCTAATCCACTCATTCTTTGTTTCCCAAAAAGAAAAGTAATGAACACCCGGAACAACATTACACTCAACTAAAGGAACAACATGCTCATGTGAAAAACTAGACTCTAACATACATGGAACCATTGGCAAAGAATGTATTTGAATAATAGACACAAAAACTTCATGCTCAAATAAGTCAAATGAGCCATTAAACAAGGAACAATCAATATCATAGTCTCCATTTGAATCATCAAGTTCCTTATCAAAATGGTCAACAAAAGAATCATGCATTAAAGAACTATCGACCACAATTTCTGTTTCCATAACTTCCTCATAATTATGTGACTCAACCTCAATAAGTTCCTCTTCCTTTCCCCCCACACTTGGCGTGTTCCCACTAGGGTCATTAGAAGTCAAGGTTGCTTCATTAAAATAATCGGTTCCTAAGTCACATATAAGAGTAGCTAACTATCCAATCATATTTTCTAAGGAATCTAACCGCGCATTAGTATCCCTTCCAAATTGTACCACAAGATTGATTAAGGAAGAATTAGAAACTTGGTCATGTATGGGTTCATAAGGGTATGAAGAATCAAAATTAGAGGAGAATCTTGGTGGAAAATCAGAAATAAAACCAGATAAAAGATACTAATATGAATACGCGATAAATGAATCATAATCATAACAATTTACTCCCTGTAAACCATAAGTTCCTTCTTCAGAAGTTCCTGCATATAAATCGTCAGTAATTCCCAAAGGAAATCGGCCTTTCTTTTCTTCCACTTCTTTAAGGCGTTGTATCTCTGTAAATCTTGCAAAGAATTGGATATAGCCATATAACCAGCCTCTGAAGTTTCCTCATTGTCTTCATCTTCATTAATTTGAGAAATTAAGTTCCTCGCCATCTCAAGGAGTTCTTGTTCTTCTTCTAACAACGAATCCATATTACTGTGACCTAACAAAAAAAATTAAACAAGAAGGATCAAATTCTTTAATTAAATAGAAAAATAATCACATTCCCTGCAACGGCGCCAAAATTTGATGCGATGTCAAAACACACACAAATTAATAATAATCACCTTAAGACTTCTAACTTGTAATTAGCGGAAGTAGGGGTCGATCCCAAGAAGAATGTGCTTGCAAATAACTAAGAATAAGATCCAAAACACTTAACAAAGACTCACAACAACGAAATAAATGATTAGGGGGGGGGGAGTTTAAGTGGCTGGAACAACTAACAACTAGGAACTTAAACTAACAGGAACAATAACAGATAAGGAACTTGAAATACTCAGTAACTATACAGAGAAATCCACCATGCAAATGTATAATCACGGACATATTACTTAATCCTTTAGAATAGCTTGACTTATGGAACAAGTTCCTCTGTTTTCCCTTATTAATGGTTAGAACCCGTACAACTTTCACTAACCCTAACCAACAGATAACCCCTATACTACGAGCCCAGACAACCATGACATTATTGGAACACGGTTTCACCTAGATCAAGAATTACTTTTCAATTAATAGAGCGAAACGTCCTCCTCTACAACTGTTTGCTACTTCATTAATGTTTTCAAGCAATTACGGACTTAGTAATATTATTTAGCAAAAGAAATCAGACTTAAATAAATAGTTGTACACCTACTCATAAGAAATCATCATTCGTATGAACAAAACAATAATTCAAGACTCCAAGCATTAATCATTAAAACCAACAATACTCGTCTCAAATACTTAATACATGGCTTCAAACTAATAGTTACTGAGCATAACAAGCTAAAGATTCATAATACAAAGAAAAGAAAAGAAAACTAAATAAGAACCCATTAAGTTCCTCAGATTTAGATCCGAGTTCCTCTCAGGGAGCTCCGAGTTCCTCCGCTACAATGTATCACGAATTGTGACCAACGACTCCAAACCCTTGAGGGGTTTTGGAGCGAAGCCTCTCTTCTCTTACGTCTCCAGTGTCTCCAATTTTGTGGCTTTAAATACGCTAAGAGATGATTGGGAATCTCTCAAAAATAAGGAAAGTAATAAGATAAGATTGTGAAAATATATCTTTCTCCATATCTTAAGCAATTGATAAGATCTCTTTAATCAAATATATCTTTTCCAACTACTGTAGATCTTGTAAATTATTCCTAAAGACTTCCCAAATTCGTGGATTCAATAAACCTAGACGAAGAAAACGTGCCCAACAAGCTGTTCTCATCTCCGTCAGTTTCTCAAGTTCCTCGGTTGAACTTCCATTTGTGCTTCGCATTGACTCCTTTATTTGGTTTATCTTGTTATCTTCTTAAACCACTCGAAAACCTATAGAAAATACACAACAGAGAAATGACATACAAAATATCAAAAACATATACAAATACGCTAAAATGCTAAAGGAACTAACCTTAAATCTAAGGAACATAGATATAAATAGTGTCAGAAATGACACTCATCAGACCGACGTGATAAAAGCAAATCATAGTCAGTAAAATATCACTTGGGGGCTACTTAGCAAACGGTAAAACATGAAAATCATACCGCCACGTCCTCAGACAGAACAGGGGCCGGAGCTAATAGCGGCAGCAGCTTCTCCTCATAGTACTGCCCAGGGATTGCATAAGATCTCCAAGGGGTGCCAGCCCTCTCCAATTTGCTCACCAGCCTTGCGTCATTGAACATATGATGTGGCGGAGGTGAAGGAACGACGAAAGTGTCCGAGGAATGCTGAATAGCAACCTTCTCTCCAAGGTACGCAACCGTTCCATACGTCCCTAAGAAGTAGTGACGCTCAGCGGTGTACTCCGCAGCTAACCCAGGGACAACCGAGCCATTCCACGACTAGTACTGCACATCAGGCTCCTTCGTAGAATGCCTATGAGATAAGAATCTACCAAAGATGATACAAAAGTGTTCAACTGTGCAAAAAACCATACCGAGAGGATCTGATCTCGAACATAAGTAGTAGACATCCAAACGTGGTGGCCTCCCCAACAAGCTCTCACTGAAAACCCGCATGGCGACGGCCTCGCCGGTGCAACTGAAGGAAAGTACTCGTAGAACTAGATCTACAAAAGACAAAAGTATCAGCAAGTGCTAACCAAAAGCTTAGAGCTAAACTTTATGGGAGATAAAGTATACCTCTACGACTCTCTAGAATCTAGACAGAGTAATGTTCCCCGTGAAGGACCGGTGTCAACACGAGTCTTGCAACGCTCAAACAAAATCAGTATAGGCCAAGCTGGCAAAGTCATAAGTCCCGATCAAGTGAAGATCACGGACCACAGGCAAGTAGTACAGTAGCACTCTACTACCCTTGTCAGGTGAAAACGTCCCCGACAGCAAGATAAGCGCAAAGATGGGCACCCGCTGCTCTAGGGTGGACGCATCATCCTCAAAAGCTGTGTCAGAGTCGATCGGCGAATCCCCTTAGCACTGAACTGAGTCGACTCTACCTCAGCACGAGCCCGAACAGCAATCGAACCCAACAACTCCTCAACCTCAGGAGAGAAGACGCTGATGTTGCTGTCAAACGGCAGCGTAGTGGAACTAAACTCCAGTCCCGTAATGAGACTGAAGTCGGTTGGGGTGAACATCATCTCACCCCAATGAAAGTGGAAAGTGTTGGAGGTGCCCATAAGAACTCCACCAGGGCGCGAGCCACGCG